CAAATTAGGCGTTAATTACACAATGAATATTATAAATCAAGAAGTCATTTAGATTTGAATTTCATTGATAAAAAAAAGATATCGTTTATTTTTAATTTTTTATTAAAAGACTTGAAAAATGAAATTTAACCCTGAGCTTTTTGTAACTTCATGGTTTGTCAGCCCATTAACATTGCTGATATTTAGAGGAATGGCAACAGCAATTACGTGGATGAATTTGTTATTATGTTTATTTAAATTTGGTGCTAGATACTTTTTTTATTTTGAAAATTGGAGTTATCTTGGATTAACATTATATTTTACTGTAAGGTTCCTTTACTTATTTGAAAAAAAAAATTTTATTTTCAAAAAGAGAAAAAGTAATGTATTATTTTTTTTAAAAAATATAAAGGTTGCATTCCATCATTCAATAAAATATGTAAAAACTGGAACAACAAATTCATTTGACCAATCTCCAAAATTCTTTAACCAGACATTCTGGATACTTTATCATACAGTTTTACACTACCAGTGAGTTTTTTATTCAATTCAATTGCATAGAAAAATAATTTGTATTTATATAGTTTCTAAAAATGACAATAATGACAATGATGATAGTTCCATTTTAATGTTGCTATTTTGGGCATATTTTGTCAATTATTACAAATACTACAAATACTACGACTACCACTACCACTACGACAACTACAACAGCTACACTAATTATCTATCTAATTGGTGGCTTTTGATATCACGTTGGGGTGGGGATATTATTCTTACACTGATTGAACTGTTTTTAAATAAGCAAATAATTGTATGGAGATTTGCTTTTATAACAATAGTTTTAGTAATATTTTATATTTTTGAAGCAGCTTTAATTTATGTCATGTAAGAAAGATTGAAAAGTGAAAATAATTTTTTTTTAGACATTTTCCGGTTACTAATTTGTGGTATCAGGGCACACGAGCTGTCACTTTAATGGTTTCAGGTTTCATAATTTCATATATTATAACATTTTGGATCCATAGATTTAGAGATTTTCTTGGAAGAAAATATCATAACATGGACAGAAATCAACAAATTGCACATGATAATGGAATGGAACAAAGTGCACATAGCGTACATGTTGTTTAATCATGTATTCTATACTATTAAAATCGGATTTGAAAATTTTTCTTGTTATTATTTAATTATTTATAGATATAATAAATATTACTATTTCTTATTAACAAGTTTGCGTATTAGGATCCTTACATATGCACCGATTTTGTTTGAACCCCAAAATTCAGTACGACATTATGAATACTTTCTACTAGAAAAAGCTCATTGGTTTTGGGGTGGGCCATTGGCTTAACGGGATGTTGAATAGTAAAATAGTTTTTTTAGCGGAGCAAATAAATTTTTTAGGGTCAATTATCATTCTAACCAGTTTATACATTAAAAATACTCGTGCTTAGAGATGTTCTAATGCGCATGTCATGCACATCGTGCGCACGTAATTTTCGAAATCATGCGCATGTAATTTTTTTGTATATACATAGTAATAAATGTAATGCAAAAAATTAAAAATTTTTTTTTATTATGAAATATTATCCAAATGACTCTAGAAAATTTTGGTCACAATTACTACATTATAAACAACATACTAGCTTGTTTGACAATTCTTTAGCATGGTCAAATATAGGTGAAGCAGATTTGGTAACATGGTAGAAAGGAAATTTTTCATTAGTTGCTCCTGAACTGACTAATCTTGCATGTTTATTTGTGCGATTAACCAAATTCGATTAATTTCCACATGGTACATACATTTTTCTTTGTGAAGATTTGTTTTTCATGCATTTATCTTCTTCCAGAAATTCAAACTTTCGAAATACTCAAATGAAACCAGAAAGAGAAAATCATTTAAAAGGGCAATATATCACATTTATTGTTACTTATTGCTTTTTTTGCCCTATCTCAGAATATTAATAAATCTAAACAAGATTTACAATTTTTTAACAACTGCCGAAGACCAAAAAATAAATGCAATATCGATTGTTTATATCGGGATGAAAAAAGATCACTGGATTGAGCAACATAAATTGAAAGCAATTGTGGAACGTGCTGTTGTTTCAGCTAGCAATATATTCAAGGAAGGATCTCCTCGCCAATTAAGAATTTTTCGAATCTTATTAGAGGTTGGTTTATTTCAAGATTTATCAGACTTAATATATATATATGATGATATTGTGTGATCTATTCAAAAATGAATGCTGAATAAATAAATCTAGGATTTGTTTGTTTATATTTTTTTTTTTTGCTCATTTAGCTCACTTGCTGATAAATACTTGTGCATAATAGAGGGTGATAATCTATAGTATGTTATGCAGATTTATAGTTCACTCTAGAAACCTATTACGTGAAAAGGTTATTGCTATGACGAGGAGTGAAATATAATGTAAGTTTTTATGAAGCTAACTAATATCACACAAAGTTTCATCTGCACGATGGCCACACAATGATGTTAAACTTTGCATATGCACTGATAATCTATGTTATTTTAATGATGAAAAATTCTAGAAAATTTTTTTTATGTATCTGAAATCTAATGTTTTTTATATTTTATTTATTAGTTCGATAATGCCTTTGAGGGGTTAATGGTTTATATGATATGGGTGCAATCATGACAGATAAAGAAACACCTTTAGGTTATGATGAAATTGAAGAAAATGTAAATACGTTGAAAGTCAAACTTATGAAGGATTCTACACCTCTTTATCAAACATTATATTCAGCTGTAAACTCTTGTCCTATTGATGAATTAACTTGGAAAGATCCATTAGCAAGTCAAGTTATTAGCAATAAATCATCAATTGTGGAAAACTTATCACCAAATTTGAAAAGGCATTTCTGGTATAAATTATTTATTATAAAGTAATCATACTTATAAATCTTAGTATTTTGATTTACCTTTATATTATAATATTAGAAACCTGCTCGACAAATGAAGCCTCCATCCATACCAAAAATTAGGGAAATGTGTGAAGAATTTGCATCAAGTTTTATTAATTGCAATTATCATAATGTAATACCAGAAAAATTACTCATAATGGAACTTGGAAAGAATCAGAAAAAAATATTTCAGATATTGTAAAAGGAGCTTTTACTCTACTGGAAGAAATTTGGGTTAATCCCACATTCAATTCTGACCTTGCAAGATTGTTGAATGAAGGAACATATCAATCAACAGTTATTTTTTTATCAATTCGGGAAATACTAAAAAATTTGCCTTTTGGATTATTTTCATTTATCAGTACTTCTGAAAGACAAAGTGTTGTTAGCTCCAATAGAAAAGGTGACGGAAACATAGGAAGAAAGCCGGATATAATGTATGTGATAAGATATCTTGATGTTTTTTTTAAAATTATGTATGGCTCACGTCATCTATAAACATCAATTTTGGGGGCTATCTTTAAAAGGCTTCAGGGGCCCATAAAAATATGTAATTGAAAAAATAAAACTGTAATTTGATAGATATTGATTAAAAGAATAAAATTACAGAAAAAAATTTTGAAGAGCCATATGAAATTTTTCCTGTGAAGCCAAAAAAATAAAGGTCATTTTATATATGTTCATGAAATTTCAGCACTTTCCATTTTAGGCAATTCCTGGCAAAATTGAGATAATCACGTGACATGTGAAATTTATTAAATGTTCATGATATCCAATTCATTTATAACTGAAACAGGCACACGTCTATGAGATTTATACTTTTTTATAGCAAACAAAGCTTGTTTACCTGTTAAACCTATTCTATAAGCACTCATAAATCTTTGTGTTTTTCTAGCAAATTTTCTTATTTTCAATAAAGGAACAGATTCCAATGCTTCTGGTATTGTTTTCTTAAGACCTTTGAATGAGTAGTTGCAGTTTTGTCTGGTGTATTTTTTGGCTGCTCCCCAAAACATTTCAATAAAATTCAATTCACAATGAAATTTTGGATAAAAAATTACCTTGTGACCAGCATTCAGTAAGTAGAGATTTTTGGGAAGCAAAATCATGCTCCAAATAAAGTATCTTTGATGCACAACAATCACTTCTTTGTTAAACATTAATATTATTTTTACAATCATGGCAAATCTTTTTTAATCCTTCTTTCCACAAATTTCTTTCTTCTAAAACTACTCTCATACCTTTAGGAGTGCCATCTTTAAACACCATTTCCCAAATGGTGCCATCTCTCATCGTTGTTGTTCTCATTTTAGGCTGTATACCACCTGAGTTCAAATTCATTTTATTTACTAACAAAGCATCAGAAGCATAAGCTCCATGATTAGTGCTATTGTCAAAAGCAAAAACAGCCACACATCCAGGATGCATGGCTTCAAAAATGGGAATTGCCTTTTCTTTTAATTGCTTTGCCATTTTATCACAATTCCAGTATCCTTCATTATTAGCCCTGGATGAATAATTACACAAGCTTCTTTTGGTATTTGTTGACCAGGTGGCAAATCTGAATTAATAAATCATGGCAAAGCACATTTGTTTTTTTTACACAATTTGCTGTAATAACTTTATATCATTAGAATTAGTTGATCTTCTTATCAAAGAAAACATGATTTTATCCAGATATCTCATGAAATGATTATTATTACAATTCGGAAAAATTGACGATAGTTTAATTGAATTAAAAACACAAAATGACATCAATGTCAACAACAATAATAATAACAACATGGGTCAAGAAATATTTAAAGCTTCTCAAAATATTATAGAAATCGTTGGACCTCGAATATTCTAGTAGCAGTATTTATAGCTTAGTTAAAAGAGGCCATGGCAAAGGTCTTCCCTTGAAAGGGAATGACATTGAAATGTTTCATTTTTTGACAGGAGGTCCGTTGGCCATAGACTTGGCTCCAAAAAATTAATAGAAAATCTTGAAAAAATAAAGGATCTTATATTAATAAAAAATTCATATCAATAATTCCATTTGAAGACTCAATTGATTACCAAATAGAAATGCAAATACTTATTGTAAAGAGTATCCAGCCAAGGATGGATTTAAAAACAACAAGCAATTTGAACATAATTGCAAGAGCAATATTAATTTATCCTGAAATAGTAGAATTCTGGAAACAAATTGGCCATCATAATATATGTAAAGATGTCAATAATTTAGTGTTACAGGGTTCTTTGCTACCCAAATTATAAAAATGAAGTTTGTAATTATCCAACTACAATTGATTTCATTGAATGTATACAACAATTGGCCAATGATTCATTTGACAAAATCTGTCATGACTGATATTTTAACAACTGCAATTAGCTGCAATTCAATTTTCATATGCTGCAATTAGTTGCAATTAATTGAGGAACCATATTTAGCAGAAACTGATAATATCAACAAACCTAAATAATAAAAAAAAGAAAATTGGGATATTTGGCACAATGTGGAACAGAAAATGGAAAAATTTGGTTAGGGAACTTGAAGAAAGAAAAGATATTATACTACAATTATTGTTATTTTTAATGGAATGTCCTTTTAATAATTCAATATAATTTAGATATTTCTTGATCCATGTCATTATTATTACTGTTGTTTTTGTTGTTTTTGTTGTTTTTGTTGATATTGATGTCATTTTGTATTTTTAGTTCAATTAAACTATCATTTGTTTTTCCAAATTGTAATAATAATCATTGCACAAGATACTAGATAAAAGTCATGTTTTCTTTGATAAGAAGATCAACTAATTCTAATGATATAAAGTTACAAGCAATGTGTTTTTCCATAGTTTTTGATGATCCAATTTTGCTCTTACTTTGGATCTTTGATAGTTTATACAATGCTTTTATCAGTTAAAATGGAAATTTTGTATTTATATATATTATTTTTTTTTCTTTCTCTCAAAACGACATTATTTACACATGATTACATATTAATATATATAACAAATAAATGAAAAAGTAAAAAATAATACATGATGCGGGTTCTTGTATTTACCCTATAAAATTTTTTTTCAGAAAATGTATGGTTTTTCCATACATTTTCCGTGCGTTTTGTATGGAATATTTACGGAATTATACATGAAAAGAACGCTTTTCCGTAGATATTTGTCCTGAAAATACCCGAAAATACATTCCGTACATTACCACAGCAAATCACATTTGTTTTTTTACGCGATTCTCTATAATAACTTTATATCATTAGAATTAGTTGAACTTCTTATCAAAGAAAACGTGACTTTTATCCGGATATCTCGTGCAACGATTATTATTACAATTCGGAAAAATAGACGATAGTTTAATTGAATTAAAAATACAAAATGACATCAACACCAACGACTACAACAGCAATAATAATGACATGGATCAAGGAATATCTAAAGCTTCTCGAAAATATTATAGAAATCCCTGGGCCTCAAATATTCCAGTAATGGTATTTGTAGCTTTGTTAAAGAAGCCAAACTAAAGTATGGTGAAAGCCTTCCCTCGAAAGGAAATGGCATTGAAATGTTTTCATTTTTTAACAGGGGGCCCATTAGCTATAGACTTGGCTCCAAAAAAAATAATTGAAAAAAATAAAGGATCTTATATTAAATAAAAAATTCATACCTTTCCTTAAGACCAGCGATCCCATTTGAAGACTCAATTGATTACCAAATAGAAATGCAAATACTTAATCATAAAGAATATCCGGCCAAGGATGGATTTGAAAACAACAAGCAATTGAACATAATTGCAAGAGCAATATTAATTTATCCTGAGATAGTAGAATTCTGGAAACAAATTGGTTACTATGATATATGCAAAGATGTCAATAATTTGGTTTTACAGGGTTATTTGTTAATTTTATTCTACCCAAATCATAAAAATGAAGAAGCTTGTGATTATCCAACTACAATGGATTTTGTAAAACGTATACAAGAATTGATCAAAGTTGGGTTCAAATTGACAAAATCTGTCATGACTGATATTCTAATTTTGTATGAACAACATATTGATAAAATTGGAATGACACTTTTAGAAGCTTTTCAAATTGTTAGGAATCAATCAAATCTGATATTGTTGGATGTTGTGTTGTAGAAGCCATTAAAGTCAACAGAAATTTGAAAAAACTTCAAGTTTTAGATTTTCTAAGAAAGCAAATTGAAGATAATTGTTTAGAACTTGTATTTCTTAAAGCACTGGTTTATCATTATTTTGATAATAAGACCAGAAAAAAATTAATTGATTTTCAAATTTTTGATAAAAATAGTTTAATTAGCAGCAATAATATAAGTAATATCAATATTATAGATAACATCAATGAAGAATCTATTAATTATTATTATAAATACAATTATTATTATGATTATGGTTATAATTATTATCCACATGATATCAAGTATTTGAGAAATGGTTATTATTGGACAAAGTATTATGTTAACAGATTGATATGTGATGATACTTGTAAATTTATAAATTCAAATATTGAAATGCCAATTAACAACATACAATCATTGAGATTAAGTGGACATTTTTATAGATGGGTGTTAAAAAAATTCAATCCAGATTCATTAATCACAAGATTATGCTTCAATGATATGATTATATCAAAGGTATGGATTGATAGAGAGTTGTTACTCCATCCTGAAAGATCAATACCAGAAAGAATAACCAGCTGTACATTCAATTTGATCATACCTACTTACAATGAATTTTGTCAGAGTAATATTCCATTTGAATTGATCTATTTGAATTTATTAAAGAAATCAAACAATATAACAACTTTAAAACCATTTTTCGAAGGGTTTTTACCCCAAATTTTTAATCTCAAACCAACTTTTAAATGCAATAACAGCATCAGCACCAGAAAACATGGATTGAAAAACAACTATATATTACAAAACCAGCCCCTTTTTCAACTGCTTGATGTTCATGAGAGGAAAATTGAAGTTGATGAAGAACAACATTATGGTTTTCTGAATTGGAAAAGGTTTATCATGAAGTAACAATGCAATTAAATACAAATACACATAATAATCAGCTCACTTTGAATTTTGTATTTTGTATGAGAAACATTTGGAATAGACTTATAGCAGAAACTGATTACACAAACAAGCCTAAATCAAAAAAAAAAAATAAGATTGGGATATTTGGGTTGGAGACCAATAGAAGAAAATGGACCAAAGAAAAATTTTGGTTAGGAAACCTGGATAGAGAACTTGAAGAAAGAAAAAATATTATAGTACAATTATTGTTATCTTTAATGGAATGTCCTTTTAATATAATTATACTACATATGAATATTCACATTTGTATATAATTTAGATATTCCTTGAATCATATCATTATTATTACTGTTGTTTTTGTTGTTTTTGTTGTTTTTGTTGTTTTTGTTGTTTTTGTTGTTTTTGTTGACATTGATGTCATTTTGTATTTTTAGTTCAATTAGACTATCGTCTATTTTTCCGAATTGTAATAATAATCGTTGCACAAGATATCTAGATAAAAGTCACGTTTTCTTTGATAAGAAGATCAACCAATTTCAATGAATAAAGTAGTTTTAAATGATCCAATTTGTTCTTACTTTAGATCTTTGATAGTTTATATTATGTTTTTATCAGTTAAAATGGAATGTTGTATTTATATATATTATTTTTTTATTTTTTTATTTCTCTCAAAATTGTCATTATTTATACATGATTAATATTAACATATATATAATAAATAAATAAAAAGTAAAAAATAATACATGATGCGGGTTGCCATATTTTTCTGTCTAATAATATTTTCAAGGAAGACAAATTATCATCAACTCTTGTTACAAATTGATGCTGACTACCATCCGACATTTCAATGAATATAAATTTTATTTTTAATTAATTATGACAAAAACATTTCATCAGGCATCATTTAATCATGGCATCATCAATGACTCATTTTTGACATTTAACTTTTAGTAATTATCAATTAATCATTCTATTTTATTCTATTTTATACGACAAATTCATGTAAAAGGTCATGTTATTTGTAATACTTCAAGAAGTATAAATATGCTTGAAATCTCCTTCAGTGAAAAAAAAATTAAAAAATAATTGATCGTTCACTTTCATTAATTAATAAATCTGGCATGTTTGATTGACCAACATTTAATTATTAGTTAAGAACCCCTTTTATTAGTTTTACTATATTGCTTGTAGGGACGCCTCAAGTAATGTAGTTGTATGTTGTATATGGTGTTTTTAGTTTAGTTTGAACATTATTTGGTGACTCTCCAATAGAGTAAAGTTTCTATTCGTAATACAAATTTTTGTTCGAAATTACCCAAATCATTCGTTTATTCGAATTGTATCATTCATTTATTCAAATTGTTATCATTCGTTATTATTCGAATTATCCAAATCGTTCGTTTATTCAAATTGTTATCATTCGTTTATTATTCAAATTATCATCATTCGTTTATTCGAATTGTTATCGTTCGTTTATTATTCGAATTGTTATTATTCATTTATTTGAATCATTCGTTTATTCAAATCAATATCATTCATTTATTCAAACTATTCGTTTTATTTCGAATTATTGTTTTATTTCGAATTGATATCATTCGTTTATTATTCGTTTTATTTTGAATTGTTATCATCATTTGTTTTATTTCAAATTATTCATTTTGTTTCGAATTGATATCATTCGTTTTATTTCGAATTGTTATCATATCATTCGTTTTATTTCGAATTGATATCATTCGTTTATTCGAATTATTCATTTTGAATTATTATTATTCAAATTATTTCGTTTATTTGTTTGAATTATTCGTTTGTTTGAATTGAATTATTCATTTTATTTCGAACAATATGTTTATTCGTTTATGATTATTGAACTATTCATTTTATTTCGTTTATTCGTTTTATTTAAACTACTTGTTTATTTGTTTTTTTTTTTGAAATACTCGAATTATTCATTTATTTGAACTATTTGAATTATTTTGTTTATTCGAATTATTTCATTATTCACTTTATTTCATTATATTTGAAATTCGTTTTGTTTAATTCAAATTATTTCGAATTATTTCGTTTATTCGAACTATTCATCTATTCATTTATTCAAACTATTCGTTTATTCGTTTTATTAGAACTATTAGAACTATTCATTTTATTCGAATTGCTCATTTATTTGTTTTATTTAAATTATTGATTGAATTATTTGAATTATTTGTTTATTAGTCGTTTTAATTGAATTATTATTCATTTTATTCAAAATTACTTGTTTTAATCGAATTATTCGTTATTTCATTTTATTCGAAAGAACTTTCAATGTAATTCGAATATTCAAGTAAAACAATAACTTGAATAAACCTTATTCGAATAGGAACCCGTATAGTTGTATGTAGTGAGTGATTTTAATTTAGTTTCACCAGATTTGGTGATTCCAATAACCCAGATCACACACTTGCAATATTTATTATAGCTTTACAACTTTAGGATGTCAATGCTGAATTTGTTGTAGTTCA